TCTTGGGTTACTGAGAAAGGTGCGTAAAATATAGTAATGTCATGCATACGATGGATAGGGGATTAATACTATTTTACATTGAGCCATTTTTTCCATCTCTAAGAAACATCTACAGTATATGTTCCAAGCAACTGAATGAGTGAATGACACAGTGCTGTGATGCACTTGATGAGTGAGGCTTGCTTGCTTGACAAAGGTCATAACCTCTATCTGATTACTATACCCCCTGCCCTGTTTTTGACCCTGTATAAGCACAACGCAGGTGCATGTTGTACAGTAAAAATGAACTGCAGAGGACTGCTTCCTGAGGTATTGCAGGTCAAATTGAAGCCATGTGATCCACCGATTTCTATGAGAATTGCCCAAAAATCAAAGCTGGACTGCAAGGTGTGCTCATGCAGGAAAAGAAACCTCCCCTGACAAAGCAGCATCCCAACAAAATGCTTTGAACAATGGTGCACAACAAAATCTATAAAGCTGACAAAGTGAAAACAAAATGTAAGAAAATAAAAAAAATGTTAAAAATGTCATACTTTGTCATTTTTATATTATATTTTAGAAAGACAGAGCCCTTAACGATAATTTTGTATCTGTTCTTATCCTTCTATAGTTTGTGAATGTACAGTCTTGAAGGCTAATGTAGTCCATGTGTGTTTGTGCATGTGTAAGTGTGAGGGGCTAACTAATTATTTCAACATTCTTTTATGAAACATTTCACTGAGGTAATAGTATAAGTTAAGTATAAGTTTATATAATAGTAAAAATAGTATAAGTTTAAACATAAAGTCATTTTTCATTATTAAACACTGGCTTCAAATCTCTCCAACTGATCTGGCTGTCTGACTTTTACAACCATGTGACTGCAAGCAGACAGAGTCAGCACTTAAAGTTTTCAAGAAGCCAGGCCAAGAGAGTGAGTTAGTGAAGTATAGAATTCTGCCCAAGATGTTCTTCCTGAAACAGATGAAATCTTGTGTTTGTAAACCCACTGTTATTTCAGCCTGATCAATGAATTTAGACAGTTTTACTCTTTATTTTGTCAAAATCTAGAACATCTGAGTATATTTTGAAAATCTATAGCCGGGATGTACCAAGTTCCAATTTTGTCTTGTGGCCAGACCTGTCACGTAATCCCTCCTCTTAAGGGTTTTCCAGATGGCCTTCTCCACTTACATTCGGATTATACCGTCTGCTTAGGGTCCTGTACTACGCTTTGTGGAGCCTGGACCAGCTCCCGTTACACAGACATCCAGAAGACAAACTGTGCACAGGCTGTTTTTAAAGACCAAAATCTATGAGCGTATGTATTGTATTAACATATTAGCATTCTGTGTTCACCGCAGGTCTTTTCATAGATATATTCTATTATGTCTGTTGCTTGTTGCGCATATTTTAGTTATACAGTATCAATAAATTGTATATTGTGTATTTAGAATCTGTGTGTGAGACTGTAAATTATTATGCTTTATTGGTTCTTAAAAGTTGTCAAGTACACTTGCAATTTATGTCACGATTGTCATCCCTCCTCTGGAGGGCGCTCCGACCCTTTTTAGTTCCATTATTACATTCACCTGCCCCTTGTTCCATGTGTATTATTTAAACCCCGGACCTCTGCGCTCAGCATTGGAAGATGGACGCCACAAGGCTTGCCTATTCCCCGGTCTCGTGGGTAGCCTGAGGGCAGGTCTTATTCCCCGGCGTCCGGACCATCTGGGTCTGGGGCTCGGAGCTCCTGACACCGTTATCTTTTTACTTCCGTGTTCTTCATTCCTCGTCCCCGTTCCGATCTCTCTTTGGATGGATCTCCCGGCTATGCACTTTTGGACTGCTTCCTGGTTTCCCCTTTGAGGTGTTTTTGGACTGTGCCACGCCCCCAGAGGACCGGAACACTGCCGTCACGCCCCACTGTCAGTCATCCCGTCCTGATCCTGTTGTGTTTCCCTGTTGCCCTTCTCCAGTCTCTTCTGGATTTTACCGTCTGCATAGGGTCCTAAATACTCACTACACGGGAGTCTGAACCAGCTCCTGTGACATTTACTGTTACAATTTCTGATTGTTACAGCAAATTAAAATCCTCATCTGCTTTTATATAACAGTTAGTTGAGGCAAGGGTAATATCGAAACATTTCTTGAAAAACTCTAAGATATCAGCTTCAATAAGGTGCCTGAGGGGCTTGTTCTAGTCTTCTACAACCCTTTGCTTTAAAGAAGAGGCTCCTGTTCTTGGCTTTAAAAGCAGTTCCTTATTGTTTTCGTTTGTATCCTCTAGTTTCTCTATCACTGTTTTTTTCTAAATGTCCTCAGGAAAAATTTTGTCAATACCATTGAAGATTTTAAAATACTTGGGGTGGGTCCTCTCATTACTTTTGATATTAAATATAATATCAATAATTAGCTATTTCAGCTTATCGATATAGGGCTTTCCTTTAAGACCTAGAATGCATCTGGTTGCTTTTTTCTGCTCTGACACCATCATGTACAGAGAAAACATGAGAGAAAAATACTTTAATAGGGGATTACAGTAAAGAAAAAGGAACACCATATATACAGTATGGTGTTTCCCAGCTTTTGAGCACTGCTGCATGTGCTGAATTCAATATTTTCTTCAGACATCCTTCAAGGTAATTAAATAGAGGCAGCTCTAGCATTGGTGTGTGTGTTAGAATTTCACCATTTTAAAATATTTTTGTTAACAGATCATCTTTCAGATATCACAATGGTACACCAGTTAGAACAGATGCTTCTCTGTGCCAGTATCATGAGTTCAGTTTTGGATTTGTGGTGCTCTCAGTGTGGAGTTTGTATATTGCCATCATGATTCATCTGGGTTCTCCGGGTTCCTCCTAGAGTCCAACGACATGCTAGTAGGTAATTTGGGTTCTGGAAAAAGTAACCCTGGTATAAGTGTGTGTGTGTTTGTATCTTTCTACCCTTTGATGGACTGGATAGACTGGCATCCCATCTGGGATATATTCTGCCTTCTGCATGTTGCATCCTGGGATACATCTTCCCAAGACTCTGTATTGGAAGAAGCGATTAGAAAATGAATTGAATATTTTTCATCATACTTGGTAGTCAGCAATTTTAAAATAATTAAATCCCCAAAAATATACCTAGTGGACATTAAAAGAGAGATCCTCACCACACCAATATGCACATTTCCCTATTAGGAATACTGTTTGTAATGTGTTATATATATTTAGTGTGCCCACACACCAGAAATGGAAAATATTGTCCATAAGTTTGTCATCTTCCTTTTATAATTAAGTTTTCTCACATGAAACTTAAAGTAAAACTAATTTAAATGACCTTCGTCACAATCAAAATAAATGGTAGTGCTCTTCAAATCCAATACCTACTGCAATCATGTGATTTTATACTTTTAACTTAGGGTAGATTTTTTAATTACTACAGTAACAATATAATGTAATATAGCATGTTTTTAAATGGTTCATACACTGATGTTTCTATTAATTAATTTATTTATAGGATTTCATTTTTTAGAGCAGCATTGTTTTTGTATATTGTTGAATTCTTTATTTTTCTATATGGTTATTTTAAACATATTAAAAATTAGAAATGGGGAACTCGGATAAATGACATACGCTGTCTTAATGGGGAGGATTTTAATGAAGGTTTCAAGGTGCTTTATTTACACAGGATGCTCAGTCATCATTCTATCAATATCAACAAACTACAAAAAGAAATATCAAAACAATCCAGAACAGGGAGACCTGACTAAAATATGAATTTCAGCCACAGGTCCACTTCTGAAGCAAACTCTCTTGAAACATTTAGTTTGATTCACACCTGGAGTGATTGATCTCCACAAAATCAGGTCTTTCGAAGAGACACATCACATTGAGATATAGTGCAGTAGCTCTCCTCCATAGAAACGATGATATCCCCAATGACCAAGAAGCAGCTGGTTAAATTGTCAGTGCATTGTCTTCCTGAGAGGTGAAGACAATTATTCTCATATTTGCTAAACCAAGAAAAACTAAGGAAGGGATTAAAAGGACCTAATTTTTATGCCCATATTTGTTGTGGACCAACATGCCCTGTCTCCTGTCATATTAGTTAAAATATTGTAGTGGTCAAGTGTTTTGGAGCTTTGGGACACTGCAGTTTTATGAAATAATAATTTAATAATAATAATAAAGTGTCATCCATTCAAACAAAAAGAAGAAAAGAAAAATAAAAAGAAATACAGAAAGTCAGCAGTGAGTCACAGAACCAAATCAGACAATAGATTAATGTTTAGCCTGCTAAATAAGTCAAAGAAGACTGTAAATTAAAATAAATATTTTCAATGGAACCACACATGGTGAATCTTCTCAAAGTAAAGAATTTTATTCAGTAAATACATGTAGTGCAGGTGACACAGCTTTCTATCAAATCAATAAAACCAGAAAAGTGGAGATAACAAAGTTGTGAACTGGGTAGAGTGCTGTGGCTACAGACAAGGTAAAAAAAGTATATTAGGAGGGAAAAGAGTAAAGGGTGAATCCTGAATCCATGGAGTTTGATCATTGTTTGAGAATTATGGTGGAATAATTTGTAAATCAAAAAAGATTGTGTGTATTCAGAAAGTTACAAAGACAAAACTGTGAGAATAAATGTAAATTTTAGCCTCACTGTAAATATATAACTATTATATAGGTGTTCTCACTTAATACTTTACCTTTGCTGTTTCTATAATATACTATTTTAATTTAAAAGATATGTCGTGATCTATTTAAATGAAAAAAGAAAAAAAATCCGCTGAATGTTTGAAAAGCACTTGGATGTCTGCAAATGAAATACAAATGTTTTTTTTTTAATGTTTGAAACAAAGACATAGAAAATCAAAATTAAACTCTATAATTTCACAATCACTGTAACACATTTTTAGTTATAAGATTGATAGAATGTTATTCTGTACTTCTGTAATGTAAAACTGAGAACAAAGGATAATTTACTCTGTACAGAGACATCAAACTAAAAGACTAATAAGAAAGTTAATGTTTTACTGAAACTGCCTTCTGATTTCTTATAAACTTCTTAATTTGCTCCATGACCTCCTCAGTTTTTAAGGTGTATATGATGGGATTCAGCAGAGGAGGAAGGGCTGCTGACCAAGATGTGTTGAGGATTCTGGTGTCAGTGTCCACCCATATATTTATGTATGCAATCAAATATGTTACCAAAAATGGAATAAAAAAAATTGCCACTAATGCTAAGTGAGCTGTGCATGTTTTAAATGCTTTCCACCTCCCCTGGGCAGAGGCAATCCTTGTAAGGGCAGCTATAATGCACACGTATGATATAGTAATGAAAGCCACTGGCAAAAAAATGAAAGTAAAAGTATAAACAATACCTATAATCTTATTTGTACTATTACTGCTACAGGCTTCTCTGTACACTGGTCCATGATCACAAAAAAAACTGTTAATGACAGGAACAGGTTTGCAGAATGACAAGCGTGTTATAAAAACCACTGCAACAACAAAATATGTTAAAGCCAGTACCCAGCAGAAACCAATTATAAAGAACATCGTCACATTTGTGTTTATTGTGCTACTTCTCAGTGGAAAACAAATAGAGACGAGTCTTTCATAAGACATAACAACAAGGGCGAGAGATTCCAGGGCATAGAAAGAATGAAAGAAGAACAGCTGAGTTAAACATGACTCATATAACACAAATCTTGAGTCAAAAAGAAATTGATGTATACATTTTGGAATAAGAGCTGTGCTAATGCTCACATCTACTACAGATAAATTAAAAACTGCCACGTACTTTGGTGTATGAAGACACTCGGACAGATATATAACAGACATTAGAATGAAGTTGGCTATCAGGGTTCCCAGGTAAATGAAAGCCAGGAATATGAAATAATAATCACTGTGCTGCAGATTCTGAAAACCAGCAATCAGAAACCCCACAGGGGTAGAAAATGTAGTGTTTATCTCCATTGCTGCCAGCTGTTGAGAGAGTGCTTCAGTAAACTCCTTTTTTTACTTTTTCTCAAACCTAAAATTAAAATAGGGCAATGAAGATAAAATAAGTAAATACAGTACCATATACAATAATACTATTAAAGAGTAACTATCTCTACATGAAATGCCCAGCATTATTTCCTTCACTGGTATATTGCTGCATAATGTCACATTTTACAGACACTACAGTATGAGATATCAGTGATCATTTTAGTATACCGATTTTTAGGAAGGCCTTGATTGTAAATAAAAATTAAAACAGCCAGTACATTTTCTGCTATGATCTGAAAAATAAAGCAGATCGAGTAATTTAATAATAAAAATAGAAGGGAATATAATATGATGTATTTCATATTTCTCAGAAGTGCCAGATTTCCATTTTGAAAAGCATATAATTTTTTTACCTGACAGAGAGATGGTGGAGATAATCTTTCTCTGTGCTGTCTTCATTACAGCTTCCTACCCTAAGGCATCCATTTATGTACCAGAGTGTAGCTGTCATAACCCTGTCCTCAAGTGGTATTACTATTCCTGTTTGCATGTGTGGGTTCTCTTGTGTCACAGATAATAACTCTACATAATAGTATCATGCATATGATGAATAGGGGATTGTTTTCTGAAAGATCCCAGGGTATTAGCTTGTGGCTGTCTCCTCTTTTCCAGTCTACCACATCCCTTTGCATATAGAAGTGCCCCCCATTCTCAATTTTAAATTGATTTCCTCAAAGTTTACATACATGTATGTTCCCTCAGGTTTGTCTTTTCCTTAAATTATGAAAACAACCTCTGTGTTGACTTTATCAGTGCCTTGAATAATTTGTATCAGGTTGTATCAGGTCACTTTATTGTCTTCTATTTTCAATCTTAAAAAATATGTACTTACTTATTTATTTTAGCTTGTCAATATAAGATATTCATTTAAGCAATGTTATGGTTATTAAGGTTTCCCTCCTCTGCTTTGATTCCAGTGAGGCTGCAACTTTTTGGTGACTTGATGACTAACATTGTACACAATATTCACACAACATATACAAATTATGATGTCCCTGGGAGTGCAGCCATCAAACCAGACTTTTAGTTGGTGGGTCGTGAGACAAAAGAATCCCCAAAGCAATGTTGTTATTTTTTTAGTGCCTGGGAAATGAAGCAGAAAATAAAGCTGGAAAAGGAATACAAAGAACTCAAGCACCCTTGAGAACATGGAAGGTCCTTGACGAAGTCTGCAGTTCTGGAAGTCTAAGGGAATTAAAGAGTCAGGAGAGATTGCAACTGGCCAGCAGGGAGTGAATGAGAATGTTTGGCCTTGTTGCTTGACACATTGTAATGAAGGGAGGCAATGCCAAACCTCATTTTTGGCCATCGGAAGTACTGTTTCAGTTGTTCTAAAGTCTGCTTTACACCTTGGTGGCCTGTGAGCCTCAAGTGTTTCTCCATTGTAGGACCTCAGACCAGACAGAATGAGGGACAAACAGTTTACCGGGCAGGTTTCCAGAGGTGCGGGATCAGAGGCCAGTGCAATCTTCACTGCCTCTTCCACAGAGAGGAAATCCACTCTGATGATGCTGGTTTTCCCAAGGAGTCATCTGAGGAATAGATTCTTCTCACAGTGTGTGCTTTGCCATTCTTTTGAGACCTGTAGGAGATGATGAAGTCAAAGCTGGAGAAGAAAAAAGCCCAATGTGGCTGTCTGGGGTTCACATGTTTGGCCTTCTTAATATATGCCAAGTTCATATAATTGATAAGCACTAGAAATGGATAAGCTGCACCTTTTTAGGAAATGCCTCCACTCTTCCACAGCCAGTTTTGCCATCAATAGTTTCCAGTTGCTTAAACAGTAGTTTTTTCTTCTGCGGGAAAGATGAACCCATTGCTCAATATTGGGTTTATCCTGGTGAGCTCAACTTCCTTTGGCAGTTTCTCATATCTCGACCTTCTGGCTTCAGACTCGGCACTCTCTTGACTATGATTTGTGGACTTCGTTTCTGGCCTTCCGTTTTCCATTTCCCAGATTCCTCCCTAGCTGTCTTTTTGGAATTCAAACTTGAAACTCTGCTTAGCATCCATCTCACTATTCTGGCCTCACTCTTCAAACTTAACAGAATACTGAGCGATAAAGATGGATCCAGCAGAGTTAAATTTTAATCAGATGCTTCTGAATCAACATTTTCAAGCCTTCATGCAACTACAAGCCTCATTACGACAAATTTCTGAACAGTTGTCTAAATTACCAGATGCTCCAACCCCACAGGATCCGCTCACCCCTCCTGCTGCCACACCTCCACTGGTTACCTCCACCTCTCAGTCTGTACCGCTAGTTACACCTGATAGATATGATGGAGATCCTGCCAAATGCTGTGGTTTCTCGACGCACTGCATCCTAATTTTCCAACTTTATACAGAAAGCTTTCCCACCTCACGAGAAACAGTCACATTTATTATTTCTTTGCTAAACAGACTGGCTCTGGACTGGGCTATTGCTTTATTAGAGTGTGGAGCACCCGAAGTTAATGGTTTTGACCAGTTCCAACATCAACTAAAAGCAGTCTTCGACCGCCCAGATCTGGGGTAGCTTGCAGCTACCCGACTTTCTTCACTTCCTCAGAGAAAGTGCTCTGCTCAAGACTATTCAATCGAATTCTGTATTCTGGCAGCAGAAACTTCGTGTAACCAGGAGGTGCTTATTTTCCAATATCGACAAAGCTTGTCCGATGAGCCTAAAAGAACACTTGATTCTGCTGCCTTTGAACAGCAAAACCTTGGATGAATTCGTCACGCAAGTTATAGATTTATATAATAGGCTCTGGAGAAATTACAAACACAGATTTTGATGTACCCACAAATTTTAACCTTTAGCCCTGTTTTATTAGAACAGCCAATCGAAATTGTACATTCCCGACTCACCCCGGAGGATAAAACAGAGACGTCAAAGAGAAGGACATTGCCTCTGTTGTGGCAAAGTGGCTTCCCATCCTGTCAGACCACAAAGAAGGCAGCATAGCCAGACAAACTTTTAACCAAATGTGAGTGAATCATCACATTTCTCCAAAACCCCCACCGGACTTTATTTTCTGGCTACACTGTCCTGGAGTAATAATCATTTGCCCCTCTTTGCTTTTATAGACTCTGGAGTGGCCGGGAACTTCCTAGACTCATCTCTAGCTAAATCTGGGAATATCCCCTTACTACCAGCGAATCCACCTCTCCATGTTCAAACCCCAGATGGTTCTCCCATGGCATCCTCCCAGCCAATTACTTGGCAGACCACTGCGCTTTCACTCCAGGTCGGTACCACTCATTTGTCGAACAAATGAAATTCTACTTTCTGGAGACACCTTCACACCCTCTCCTTTTGGGAAATACCTGGTTATGTAAGCACGATTCCCACATCTCCTGGACTAACAATGAACTGTTGGCTTGGGGACCCCAATGTCAATCCCACTGCTGCCTCTTGAATGTAAAACTAGCCCTCGACGATCTGTCACTGTCTGTAATCTGCAAGATTCCTCCTTAATACAGGGAGTTAAAGCTGTGAACAAAAGGCTCTAACCCTCCCCTCCCATCGTCCCTTTGATTGTACAATAGACCTCTTGCCTGGCACCCTCTGAAAGGGAAGATCTATGTGCTCCCCAACACTGAATCAGATGTCTTGGAGAAAAATATCCAGGAATCACTCAAAGCAGGATTAATTGCCCCTCGATGTCTCCAGCCTGTGCTGGCTTCTTTTTTGTTGAAAAACAAGGACGGAGGAGTCAGACCCTGTATTGATTATCGCGGCATTAATTGAACAATGATAAAGAACCGATACCTTTTACCTTTAATTACAGCAGCTTTGGAGTTTGTACATGGTGCCACCATATTTTTAAAACTGGATTTACTTAGAGCGTAATTTATTTTTCTCTTGTTTCTGTTACTTTATTACATGCACTCCTGATTCTAAGAAAGCCAAAACAGATGCCCTTTCCCGCCTCTATGACCCCCCAGAAATAGATCAAGAATCCATCATTCCGCCCAATAAGTTTATAGCGGCAATCAGATAGAACATTGAAGAAGAGGTCAAGAAGAGGTCAGACGTATTTTGGCTGGCCACCCAGTCCCTCCACAGTGCCCCCCGACAAACCCTTCATCGTCAACCCAGTTCGTCATTTCCAGAGACTTCTGCTGGCCAACCGTTAAGGAAGATACTACAAACGATGTCCGGGCATGTCCCGTTTGTGCTAGAACCAAGTCTCCCCGCCAGAAGATGACCAGCCTTTTACAACCTTTGCCCATACCTGAACGCCCATGGTCTCATATCTCAGTAGACTTTATCACGGACCTCCCTGAAAGTCAGAGTAAGACAACCATATTAATCATCATAGATTTCCAAATCGGCACATTTCATTCCTCTCCCCTCACCACCTTTGACAAAACAACTGGCGGATCTTTTTGTCAAACACGTCTTTAGACTTCATGGAATTCCTAAGGATATTGTCTCACAAGCTAATGGTCAGACAGAGCATATTAATCAAGAGTTACAAACCTTCCTACGAGCATACATCTCTTCCACGCAAGATAATTGGGTCTCTTTACTCCCATGGGCTGAATAAACCCATAATTCATTAACCACTTCACCCTTCCAGTGCGCTTTAGGATACTAATTGCCCCATATTCTTGACTCACCTCCGGACACCCAGGTTCCCGTTAATGAATACATCTCTAACCTTCAGGAATTATGGGAAAAAAACAAGATCACTCTCTCACGCACTGCAGAAAGACAGAGAAGAACAGCTAATAGCTTCGTTGAGAGTGTGGCTCTCTATTCACAATATCCAACTAAGAAAATCTTCTTGTAAGTTGGGTCCCCTGTACATTGGTCTGTTCCGTGTCCTAGCCCAGGTCATCCCCATCACCTACCGTCTAGCTTTGCTCCCACTTTTAGGCTTCACCCAACTTGTTATGTTTACTTGCTCAAGTCATTTCACAGATTCCACCCTATCACGACCCCAACCTTGACCTCCCTCTAACATGGCTCATTGACAGACTACCTGCTTTCACTGTCAACAAGATTCTGGGCTCTCGCTAGCATCGTTGATCCTTACAGTACCTGGTTGTTTGGGAGGGTTATGGCCCTGAGGAATGCTCCTGAGGTGCCCCGAAAAGGATATCCTAGATCAGACTCACATTTGGGATTTCCACCATGATTTTCCAAACCTTGGACAATGTTACAACACTGGTCTCACGCAACTGTAGCGGCAATGCTTGTTAATAAGACAGAATTAAGCATTGGTATGCTGTCCTAAATGAGGCCCCATCTCACCCTCCATCTCTGTGGTGCAGGCACAGAGAAAGTATTCATGCAGGCTGATTTAAGATGTTTTCTTTTGATAAGGGACAGCTCCCAGACGGGGATGCACTTAGCTAAGCCTGGCTATCATGATCAATGGTCATCCATTGGTGCCTATCAGTCTAGGGAGTGCCGAATGGACATCTGGACTGTAAGTGTCAAGAGTAAGTGACTTATATCTCACCTTGACCAACCAATCAGGGACTGGCAGGGTGTGGTAATACCACGTGGGTCTCCAATGCCCACCAAACTCTCAACCAATCAGCACACATCTGGGTCTTGGTCAAAAAGGGAGCGCAAGCTCAGATCGGGGCTCTCCTTGGCCATTTTCGCGCATCCTCAGAGACAATCACGTGACAACTGCTGTTGTCTGCAAAAGGACTTGGACTTTGTTCTAAGCGCAAGGCCGAGGATCCCGTACGTACTCAGAATTCTATCAACGTGAATGCTCCACTTGATCAACGGCAGCCTACAGTTGGACCCTCGTCGACAACCTGAATAGCTTATTCAGAAGCAGCGCTGGACCGGGAACGAACCAGCTTCTTCCCAGGCAAAAGAGTGACTTGTGAGGACTCGCGGTCACACTGTGCATAGAGACTTTCTACTAGCCAGCCGGACTGCTGGTAGATCCCCTCGGAGCAACGACTGCCCTGTGCGCCGCGGTCAGATTCCTCCGCCCGTCATACTCCGAGCTGCACCTCGACTGGTTGGCCGGTAGCCAGAGGACGCCGGGACAACGCCCATTGGACAACCGCTGGAACAGAGGCTGCAACAGAGCCTGTCAGCTGGTTTGGTGTTCGTGCCGGGAAATTCCAAATCCATACACAGTGGATAAGTAAACCCCATGTTCTACATTGCGTCTCGAGAATTCAATTGTACTTCAACACAAGTTGTTATCAATTTAATTCATGAGTAATGTATTTACTTCCGAGTTTAGAGTAACAGTGGGTAATAACACTGATTAGCAATTTGGTAACCGAACGATATATATTGACATATATTCTCTGTTGTGTATCTCTTTGTGTTTGCATCTCTTCGAGATTATATACCTTATATATTGATAACCCTCACAGTAAGGTCTGCCACTCGTATCCAGGCAGACTAGTATATGTTTGGTGCACAATTTATATTAATAAATGTATCTCGTGTATTGAACCCGTGTGTGTGCGTTGTTAGTTGTTCTGACTATTGATTTTCTAAAAGCCCCAACGAACAACCTCGTGATTACTGCTACAATTAATAATTCTCAGTAAACCCATCAAACCACTACACAACCACTCCCCAGTCCCTTTGAGAAGACCTTGCCAAATCAGATAACCACCATTCTTACCTGTTCAGCACCCTACCCCTGGCACTAACATACTTCAGGACTGCATGCAGTACTCTCACTGCTCAGTATTGGGTTTATCCTGGTGAGCTCAACTTCTCATTCCTTTGGGTTGCGGTTTCTCATATCTTAGTCTTCTGGATTCGGACTCGTCACTCTTGACTACAATTTGTGGATTTAATTTCTCGCCTTTCGCATCAGTTTAGCTTCCCTGTTTCGTTACCTGGATTCCTCCCTATTTATCCTTTTGGAATTCCAACTCAAAACTCTGCTTAGGATCTGTCTCACTATCTCAGCCTCACTACTCGAATGTAACAAGAAGAAGGCTTGTTGCATGGTATTCATAGTGATGCAGCTCCCTCAGTTCTGTGATGCTAGCCTGCTGGAAATTCAAGGTTGATTCATGACTGGCCAGTGCTCTGTGAATTGCATCTTCTCCCACAGGATCCATGTCAAGGCTCAGTCTTCACTGTAATGAACTGCCCCTGAAGGGGGTGTCTGTCTATGTTTGAATAAGGATCCTTTTTTACTGGAGAAGAGTGGTGCTGAACTCAGGGAACAATGTGAGACTGTGGGTCTGCAGGACCAAGCAGCCAGCGAGGTGAACGTGCAGTAGTTGCGGAGCTTGGCAGAGAAGATCATAACACTAGAGAAAGGTATTGGAGTTTGGCAGTCCAGGTCCCAGGGTTGGGAAGTGAAGCAGAGGTTCATGTCAGCGAAGAAGGAATAAAAGCCCTCCTGGTAATTAGGTAAGTGCCATTTAATTATGGGCTGACAGTATTGACAACCTGCCTGAGTGTGCAGTCATAGAAAGAGGCAGTTAGGATGGTTGTATGGGAGACTGACCACCGGAGATGTTGTTGTGGGAGCTGGCACTCACGGAGGTGTGATCTTTACAACTCTGCTTTGACGTGTATTGTGATAAATTACTTTCTATGATTGTCATTATGGTTAGAGGAAAACAAGGATTCTGTAAATGGGGTATTGAATTTTAAAATCTAAATGTTTTTTTTTCTCATTAATTAGTCTTAAGGGCAAAATTTGGAAATAAATAAATCCCAACATGTATTTCTAATGGACCTTAAGACTGAGATTCTGTCCTAAATCCATCTGCAATTTAATTATTTAAATAGAAATATTTTATGCGCTAAACGTGTGCATGCACCGACCTGAAACAGAAAACTATGACATAAACAAATGTATAACATTATATATTATAATGTAGGTAACATATATTCTACATTCATACAGTATATACTATACAGGACCTTGTTTATCTCTCTTAAGAAGTTAAAACATTTATCACAATTAATAAAGTTCCCACTTCTCCATCTGAACTGTGCAGAAGAACTGCTGGTTGTAGCCATTACCAATGATGTACAGTATATAGATCTTTATTTCCTTAGAGCAAAAAAGGTGGGAAATGTAAAATAAAACACATTGGAATCTATATAGATACATACAGAAAGAAAGGAGCTACTGATCACAGCCTGCTTCTTATAAAGTATTGTTTTTATCATACATTTACCAAAGTAAAATCTAACCACTATTTACAAAAAATTTGGTGGAGTTTTAAAGCACATTCTTAAAGTTACTACAAGTATTAGGGACTTTTTTTGTAATACAAATGTGAATAAAATTTTTTTTTAAATCCACGTATGTACAGTACTATTTAATATAGTATTAAAAATGTTTACAGTATTTGATGGTGTTTGTTATTAGATACTTTACTGATCGCGTGAGGGAAATTGCAATGTAAAATATCAGAATATAAACCCTAAGCATTATGGTGGAAAATTACATGTAATGCTTAAGGTGCAGCTAATGTACACCTAAGATAAGGACAGTGATATTATCAACAAGGAGAAGTCAAGATGACTATATTGAATACTTTCTGTGGAACCATACAAAGTGAATCTTCACAAACTAAAATCTGTTATTTGGAGAATACATCAAGATGACACAGCTTGCTTCCAGATGAATAGAAACAGGTGAAGTCAATGAAGGGAAGATGACAAGGTGTCCAGCTGTGAACTGGGTACAGTGTTGTAGAAACAGGCAAGGTAAAAAGAAATGTCTTAGGATCAAAGGAATCGAAGGGTGAATCCTGGATTTACAATAGAGTATTCAGAACAGAACTGAGCCTCCAGAGGGTTTATTATTTGTGAATTGTGAAATAGTTAATAAGTCTATTTAGAGATTTCTAGAAATTTATGGGACAAAGTCTGTGTACAAAGTTTGTGTCATTTCACCCCAAACACACTAATAAATCTCTCCCTTTTTCACAGTTCCTTTGGCTACGACGATTATGCAGTGATGACATCGATTTCCAGAACCAGAAAGTCTATTTAAAGTAAAAAGCTAAACATAACATCCTTTAGCCTTGTAAAATTTATCTTTTGAAAAGCATTAATAAAAACGGACAAATGTTTTATATCACTCATGTTTCAGAAAATAAGTTACAAGTTAAAAATAATAAGATCAATTGCATTTTATTCATTTTTTTGTCACTGCATCATAAAATTGAGGATTAAGTATCTTTTAGTCTGTACAGAAAAAACTCTCACTCTTCCAGAATAATTAAGAATACTATTAATTTACTGGAGAAGCCTTTCGCTTTCTGATAAACTTTTTAATTTGCCCCATTACCTCCTCAGTTTTTAAGGTGTATATGATGGGATTTAGCAGAGGAGGCAGGGTCATAGACAAAGATGTGTTGAGGATTCTGGTGTTAGTGTCCACCAGGACATTTGACCATCCAATCATATATGTTACTAAAATAGGTATAAAATACATGGCCACTAACGCTAAATGAGCCATGCATGTTTTAAATGCTTTCCACCTCCCCTGGGCAGATGAAATCCTTGAAAGAGCAGCTATAATGCAAACGTATGATAAACTAATTAAAGCAAGTGGTACAAAAAAGTAAGAAACAATATAAACTCTGGCTATGGTCCAGTTTGAAGTGTAGCTGCTGCAGGCCTCTTTGAACACTGGTCCATGATCACAGAAATAACTCTTAATGACAGGAACAGGTTGGCAGAATGACAAGCGTGTTATAAAAACCACTGCGACAACAAAAGAGATTAAAGATAATACCCAACAGAACCCAATTATAAAAATCATCCTGCTGTTTGTGTTGATTGTGCTACTTCTCAGTGGAAAACAAATAGTGATGAGTCTTTCGTAACCCATAACAACAAGGGAGAAAGATTCTAGGATATGCAAAAAATGAACAAATAACATTTGAGTTAAACATGTCTCATATGACACAAATTTTGACTCAAAAAGAAATTGATGTATACATTTTGGAATAAGAGCTGTGCTAATGCTCACATCTACTACAGATAAATTAAAAACTGCTATGTACTTTGGTGTATGAAAACACTCTGAAACCCATATAATGTACATTAGGAAGAAGTTGGCTACCACAGTTCCCAGATAAACGAAAGCCAGGAATATGAAATAATAATCACTGTGCTGCAGATTCTGAAAGCCAGAGATCAAAAACCCCACAGGGGTGGAAAACGTGGTGTTTATTTCCATTGCTGCCAGCTGTTGAAAGAGTGCTTCAGTTTCCCCCTTTTCAATTTTTCTCAAACCTAAAATTAAAAAGGCAATGAAAATGAAAGATGACAATATTTTACAATTAACAATGATTTTAGTATAACAGTGTTAATCTGCCATATTGTCTGTCCTGCATAATTTTATTCACTAGCAGCAGTACTCACTAATGACAAAAATTAAACAAAATGATTTCTAACTAAAAATACAAAATGAGTATCATTGTCATTTTTCATACTCCTTGACATAATCTCAATAGTGTCATACTGTACATGCATTTGCACTTTGTAAGGTATATGATATTTTTTTACCTGACAGAGATATGACGGAGGTATGTTTTCTGTGTGCTGTCTCAATATCAGAACCCTGCCTTAAGCCATCCTTTTATGTTCTAGAACATGGTAGTAATCACCTTGTTCTCACGTGATATCACAATTCCTGTGTGCATGAATGGGTGCTCTTGTGTTTCTGAGAAGGATGTGTAAAATTATATCACATGGGGAAAGGGGATAAATATTTTTTAACCATGAATGAGTCATTTGTTTTTTTTTTTCTGACAGTGTGCTCCAAACAAGGACATTAGATTCAGATTAAAAAATTTAACCTGCTAGTTTCAAATTTCAGATACAAATTTCATATACCCCAGAGGAGCCTACAGCTACAGGTGCTCTGTGCTAATAAAAACATGCAACACTGTTTTTCTTTCCAGTTACTCATTTGACATGAGCACCATATTTGCAAACAAATCCTAACATGGATTTCTAGCAGACATTAATAGCAGAGTTCCATGCCTATCTATACATCATTTTCCTATGAGAAATTTGCAGTACACTAAAAACAGAACACACACCTAAAACAGGAAAGACTAACCTAAACAAATGTCTAACTTTCCAATAACAATTACTGAATGCTGTTCTCTTATCTGTCTTAAAAACTAAAAGCAAAACCAATTTAAATGATCCTTTAAATGTATCACATTTGATAAAGCAGTTTCTCAGATCCCAATCTGATCTGTGAAGTAGAACTGCTGGTGCATTATGGCCGCCATGTGGCAGTGTGTGACCCCAGTGGGTAGTACACTGAACCTTTAAATCCCCTTCCTTATGAAAAGAGCTGTGTTATCCTTTGGGCTGAGGAACAAAGGCAATTATTTGTATTAGTAGTAGTAGTATTTTCACTAACAACAGTGTGTACACCTTTTGTTTTATAAGAGCACATGTACATTTCATTGGTAGGAAACTTTAAAGAAATCTTAAATATATTAAACAAAAACTATGTAGGTATTTATAGAAAGAAGGAAATTACACATCACAACTTACAGCCCTGTGAAACATTGCTTTTTATCAGATTTCATTTTAAACCACTACCTCCACTTACAATGATGCTGGTACATTTTTTTAACCTCATTCTAGATGTTAGTTGCAGTATTTAAGTTGATTTTGTAATGCAATTTTGGATTAATAGAGTAAAAATTAGATCCCACTTGCTTTCACTAAAATAGTAATTACAAAATTAAAGGTAGATATTTTGATTTATTTAAAACGACAAAGGCAACAAACATTTGATCAGCTTGTAAAATTTAAATTAAAAAAGGACTAGTAAGATTACAAATGAAACAAAAATATTGGATATTATAGTAATATTAATAAAACTTAAGAATAAAATAAAAACTAAAATAAGTTATTTGACATCATTACTGCAACAAATTAGAAATTACAATATTAATGACATTTTGTTCTGTACCTGGTTTCAAAGTTGTTATGGTATCATAACACCGAAGAATAAATATTTTTTACTTATTACAGAGATAAACACTCACAATCACAGACTACATGGATACTAATGATTTACCGGAGCATCCTTCCGCTTTCTGATGAACTTCTTAATTTGATCCAGTACCTCCTCAGGTGTATATGATGGGATTCAGAAGAGGAGGCAAGGTTGCTGACAAAGATGTTTTGAGGATTCTGCTGTCAGTGCTCACCAGCATGTTTGACCATGAAATCAAATACGTTACTAAAAGAGGTATAAAATATGTGGCGACTAAGGCTAAGTGAGCCATGCATGTTTTAAATGCTTTCCACCAACCCTGTACAGATGCAAACCTGGAAAGAGCAGCTATAATGCACATGTATGATAAACGAATAAAAAACAGTGGCACAATATAGAAAATTACAATATAAAGACTGCCTATAGTCTTATTTGCACTGTTGTCACTAGAGGCCGCTTTGAACACTGGACCATGATCACAGAAATAACTCTGAATTACCTGGATGATTTGACAGTATGATAATCGTGTTATAAAAAACACTGATATAACATTACTTAATAAAATCAATACCCAGCAGAAACCAACCATAAAGAACATCCTGGTGTTTATGTTGATTGTGCTGCTTCTCAGTGGAAAACAAATAGAGACAAGTCTTTCATATGCGATAACAGCAAGGGAGAAAGATTCCATGCTATGCAGAAAATGAACAAAAAACATTTGAGTTAAACATATCTCATATAACACAAATCTTGAGTAAAAACTAAACTGACCTTAACATTTTGGAATAAGAGCTGTGCTAATGCTCACATCTACTACAGGTAAATTAAAAACGGCTATGTACTTTGGTGTATGAAGACACTCTGATCAGAAACCCCACAGGGGCAGAAAATGTGGTGTTCCTTTCCATTGCAGACAGCTGTTGAAAAGATGCTCCAGTTTCCCCCTTTTGACTTTCTCAAACCTAAAATTAAAAAGGCAATGAAATTGAAAGACGACAATACTGTAGAATTAATAATGATACTAGTAAAACAGAAACAATCTGCACAAATTTCCTGTATCACTTTCATTTGCGTGGTTTTAACTATTATGGAATTCAAGCGATATTATAAGTGTCCATATCATTGTCTACTATATATCCCATATAATTATCTATATTTTTATTTAATATTTTTTAAATAAGAGTAAACCTCTCTATATGAAACACAAACAAGATTTAATAAATAAGCTCTATTGCAAACGTTTTTTAATGTGCTTGCTCATTTCATACCTGACAAAGGATGATTGTGAAATTCGTTCTCTGTGCTGTCTCAATAGCAGCATCCTACCCTAAATCATCCTTTTATATACAGTACCACAGTGTAGTTGTCACAACCATGTCCTCAAGTGGTATTACAATTTCTGTGTGCATGTGTGGGTGCTCTTGTGTCACTAACAAAGAACTGCTAAATAAAACAATGTTTCTCAATGTTACTGAGAAAGAGCTGCAAAAAATATAATGCATATTTTCTGTAAACTAGGCCCCAAGCCCTTGACTATTGTGAATTCTTTTGAGAGCCATAATAGGGGAATATGTCTGTTTTTACATTTAGTAAAAAAAAAACATTTCAAGAATTCAAATTTATGGTGAAATTATGCTGTTGTTAAGATTTGATTTTTTATATTACACTGATATGTGTAATATTAAAATTAAACAATTTTTTCAAGTGCTACAGCAGTGGTTCTCAAACTTTTTAGACCAAGCACCACCCCTGATCAAACTAAAGCATCCAAGTACCACCTACAAGTCATCTTCTCATAGGAACCACAGAAAATCTCAATGACCAACATGAACACGTGTGCACACTTATAATAAAAATAGCACTGAGCACTTACTATTTCAGTGAGAGGGGTGAGCCTATTTAGTTGAGC